ATTACCATTGTCCGCCCCCCCCCCCCTGGAGAAAATTGAAAGAAACACTGATGACGTGTATGACTGTATGGCTAATCGAAAGGTGACACCCCTCCCCCCACACACACACCACCCACCTTATAATTATATAGGATAGAAACTATAAATACGTGGTCTAGAAACAAACTTTAACAAAACATGATGAAGAAGCTTAAAGTGTAAAAAACAAAACAACAAAAATAATGCCACGGCTACACGTAAACACAGGCGGGGTGGTTTCACATTAGACAACACTCAAACGTACATATAGTGTGGGAGCGGAACGACACTGCCTTCTGTTGTTAAGCGGAAGGGGGAGGGGTGACAGTGGGATGCATGACATGACTCCTGAAAGCCGCCTCTTTAAAAAATGGCTGCACCATTGAAACGAGCAGACGGCATCGGCTCTAGGTTAAACCAGGTCATGGCCGGCGTCAAGGAAGAGCATCCTGGTATTTTTAAAAAAAGTAAACATTACAGTTACACGGGGGACGGCGGGGGGGGGGGGAGAGGGGGGAAACCATTTGGTGTGTGTGTCAAATGTAAGCCTACACATAATAGATCAGGAAACGTTATACTACAGTCAGATCATGGAAAAACTTAGAGTGGCTAGGATGTGTATGTTTATGGGGGGGGGGGGGGGGGGGGGGAGGGGAAGACCATTTGGTGTGTGTGTCAAATGTAAGCCTATTCACAGATCAGGAATAGTTATACTACAGTCAGATCATGGAGAAACTTAGTTTGGTTAAGATGTGTATGTGTTTGGGGGTGGGGGGGGGGGGGGGAGAGAAACGGGGTAGGAAGTGTGTTGTTGGGCTGAATGTGTTGGGGGCTGAGGTGTGCTGGGTTGGGGGAAATATTGACACCACTATCAATGTAGACACGTAATATAAACTGTAAATAAGGAATGGGTAATAACACACACAACAACACGAATACTGTATTTGAAGGAGGAAGAGTCGTGAGATTATCTAAAGATAAGAAATAGGTAACCCACACATACACAAACACACACACACGTGACGTTAACACATTACAACGATAAGAAAAACAAACAGCTACAGCTAATCCCTACAACGATCTCAAACATTTCACAACTAGACCGGTATTTTCGTCACACTCAAAGGCTTACTCGTGTTGCTCTATTGAAATGTACTGTATTTTGTTTGAATCACAATGTCTGTTTATTTGTGCGTTTGTGACAACTGTTGCAACTCAATTTTAGAGCCACTTCTAATGCGGCGACTTCGTTTTAAATTGTCCACATACAAGCGTCTTCAGTGACATTGCAAAACTATCTAATCCTTTAATCTAATTAGATATTAACCGTATCTAATTAGATATTGAATTAGTCGTTAAAATTTAATTAAAAGATTACTAAATTCAGTAACAACAGGGGAGTTAACAAAATTTAGCTAGCCAACAGTTGGTTTACCGCCGTAGAGCCGACCTTTTCTGTTACACATGCAAGTTACTTTATCGGGTTTTGAAGTAAATATCTTAAGTCGTATGCACTGTCAACTTAATTTAGAACGAGTGAATGGGGAAAAAAGAATAATAAAAAAGTAGACCCACCCCATGAAACTTAGTGAGGGGCGTATACCAAACCCGGGGTGCCCGAAACCATAGTGTCTCTTCCGGGAAAATTCGTTAAAGGGGTCATCGCTGGCTATTTAGCCGTTTGTAAACAGTGAATTTTCGTGAAAAAATGGAGACGTGATTTAATTGTTTACAGTACTTCTACTCAATACTTACATAGGGCTTTAACTAGGATACTTCAATTGGCCATATGTAAAAAAAAATACGGGTCGGCTATTACTACCATGCTGAAGGTTAAAAACTTAATGCGAGTTATAAAGCCCCTGAATGCCCGCAAATAAAATAAAAATAGTAGAAATTCGAGGAAAACCCGGAAACGCACGTGTTAAAATTAAACAAAAAACTTTCTTCAGACTAATTGTGTGGAAGGAAACTACCTTAAAATAAATGTTCATTTTTAAAAGGATTTTGTACTATTTCATGTCGAAATAAATAGAATCCTTATCATTCACTAGTGTAATAATTTCACTAAATGTTAAATAACCATAATTTATGTTCAAATCATAAAATACATATAAATAATAGATTAAAATAAAAACATTAGCTACTGTGTCGAGATAACGTATGCAGGTCTATTGACTGACGTTTCCCGCACAAAATCGACGCGCAAGTTACAAATATCTCTTATCGTACAATGAAAACGTATGCATCTAAGTTTAACATACCTAGCTGCACCCTGCATGGTTTCATCAAACTATGCTCCTTCAAGTTTGTATGTAAGATAGTTACAGGCCTGAGTGTGACATTTACTAGATCTACGGTTTTAAAAACCTGCTAGATAAAAGATAAATAAAAAACGAACTCTCCCCCTCTTGGTGGATTTATGTATTAATCAATTTTTTTTTCATGATTGGTGTGTGTTTTTTTTCGATCAATTGTTTCAGCTACATGTAATTAGGCATTTTTTTTCTCGGCTTCGCTAAGGTTTTTGAAAAACAAAACTTACGCATAACTAAACCATATAATAGTACTAACCATTACATTATTGCCCAAATTTTATTAGTTAAAAAGCAATATCCCTATTACGTACCGGTCGTTACAAAGAGTGCGATACACTTTGGATACGATGAGCTATAATAATCATAGATTTGGCGTTTATAGAGATCCCTGTCTTTATCAGTTACAATTTTAATACATTACTAGACTGAGCCGCGGCCTACTTTGCCTCGACTTAACGGTTTGGTCCTGGTCCAGAGATTCAAAGGCTTATCTTTTTTTTTAAAGCGTCAACCTAAAGTTGTCGTCCTAGATCTGACCTATGACCCCTACCATAAACGTGGCACCTATCTTAAAACTACCTTTGTCGGGGCGATGGCCCCTCACATTCTGATAATAATTTATTTCGCCGTGATGACCCCTCCCCCTCCGGCCACTCCCCCAAACTTCATAGAGACTGACTCATTACACACACCGACACGTACACACAAACACTCAGGCAGTCGACGTGATGACCCTCCCCCACACCAGCTTTAAATTTAGTCGTGAACCCTATACACAGATGCTAGCCTCTACACACACAACTTGACCCCTACACATAGGTCGTGACCCATAAACACAGATCGTGACCCCTACACACAGAACGTGACCCATACATAACATACACAACATGATCCCTACACACAGAACCAGACCCCTAAATAACACACAGAAATTGACCCCTATACACAGATATAGTCGGCCACTGCTGGAGAGTGGAGGGGAAAAAAGCGGGGTACACACGACGACGACACGAACAAACGACCAACCGCTATCAAGTAAAGACCGCTGTTTCCCATGACATAGGTCAAGGTTCATCCTACTTGTGGCTCTGGTTCATCCATGCATGACTCATGTTGTTTTCTAGTACTGTTCATGGTTATTTTGAAGAACGTTTAAAATCGAATCAAACAATCGATTGCTATTGATATTTCAGGAGAGAGTTGCTGTGATTTGAGGAACACAATACCAAGGTGGATTACATTGTTGAAATATGCTACACGTTTAAAAAATAATAGGCCCATATATATAGTATATATATGGCCTATACATACATACATATATTATATATAGGGCCGATTCATACATACATACATACAGTTAAAGATTAATGAATATTTTTTTGTTACAAATAACAGAGAACGCGTATGTTAATTACGGTGATTGTTACATTACTAATTTGATCTTAAAAGAGTAATTTGCATTTAATAAATTATACGGAAATACTTTATTAGCCACTTCAATACGATTTTAAATTTATTTTAAATCTTATGAAGTGTTGCGGACAAAAGCTAAAACGTGTTTAATAATACCATCAAATAACTACAAGCATTTACGAAATGAACATTCAGTACTCGAGTCTTGAAAAGCTTACGAGACATCTCTTGGTGGGGGGGGGGGGGTGTTACATTAATCGTTAACAATCGCTAACATTGAATCAATTAGGGCCGATTAAATAAGATTTCAAATGAAAAGAAACAGGCAGAGACAAGTCTTACTTAGATCTCGATTTAGATTTTATTATGTGTTCTAACAACAAACATAAAAATTCCCATCATTAGTCAGCCAATGAATTGAAAACTTACTCATTTCGAACAAGCATTCTCCAGGTCAAAAAACATAAACTATTTCGTTCTTGTGCATGGATGTTGCTATAATTTATCCACTGATAAATTTAGCTGTTTAAGCAGTACAGCTACTAGATCTAGGGTCTACAAGTTTATCACTAGCCAAACTAGATCTAGTAGACTATGAGTATACACCATATACCCAATAGCCACGAAGTTTTAAGTAGGCCTATAGTTTAGTTAATAAGTCCTATTTCAATAGGAATTCACATTACCTATCTCAACAGATAAATATTAATTAATATTTCAGGGTAATAAATCTAGTAGGCCCTATTACTTACTAGATCTATTAGCCTACACAGTATTACTAGAATCTAGATTCTAGACCTACTTATTTATTTAAAATATAATGCCGCATCGGTTTATTTTTATTAGTTTTTTTAAGTATTAGCAGAATTAGCCAATGAATTGTTAAAATAAAAATACCCGGTCCTATTGTTATACTAGTTAGTAATATTTAATAATATAACCTCTATGTACAGGGGCTTTTAAAAACTGAAACTGTGTAGCGGTCTGCTAACGCGGTCTCTGTACCGCTAGGGGTTCTTGTTATCATCTTTATCACCGCAGGGAGGGGCCCCATGAGCAGCGCACACAGCACATTAATTCTACACGCGCCAGCTCCAGCGTCGTGTTACACCCGGGTAAGGATGAGAGGGCCGGGGCAGCACGGACTGAAAGAAAGCACAGCCGGGGCACGCCACCCCACAACATTCAAAACACAAACCAGGAAACGAAACAAAAATTGTGAAAATAATTCAAAAACAAAAACAAACCTACCTTGGTCATGGCCAGCTAGTAAACATAACCGTCCTCGCTTGAGTTAATTAATCCTTGTTTGTTAGCGGGCGAGCGGGAAGCGATGTTTAAAGATCGACCGGCAGTGCCGAGCAGTTGTTTCAGTAGTATCAGGTATAGCAAGTGGAGAGGCGGGCGGTGGCGCGCCGTTACGAGAACCGGCCTGATGACTGCCTTTACTTTCCTACCGCAGTTGTTTCGCGAGGAGGCAAGAAGCAAACAGCGCTGGGCTAAGAATAGATAACGGTTTGGAGCTATGTTTGACAGAGGCGTACGCAGGAGGGGAGAAGGGGGGCTGCAGCTGTATGAACCGTACTGTGATCAAGCCTTATGTGTAAAACATACATCCTTAAAAACTCAACAACAACACAAAAAAAGCTGCCATTGCAAATAAAATGTTTTATCAGGTTAGGAAAAGTTTAATATTCGAAATGACTGTGTAATCATACTGTTATAACGACGGATACGACATACTGTTATAACGATAGACACGGCGCACTATTATAACGACGGATACAACAACAGATTGTTCTAAAAACGAATTCTTACAACACCATCTCCCTGACCATATAAAACTAATCGACATGATAAATTTCGTCAACATACCCCCCCCCCCCCCACACACACACAGAGACACAAACCGAATGACGTATCCGTTGTTTATGGTAAACGTGTCACTGTGTAATCCTGGCGTCAGCAGCTTTCTGGCAACAGTACGTTGCCATTCCCCCAGCTGTTGTGGCTTCCCTTGATTTCCTGGTTACTCTAAACACCAATCTGCTAGTCGTAGCAAACATAAACCAGTTAATGGCCCATTCCTAGATCTACCGTGAGTTTGTTGAGCCTAAGCCGGCCATAACAGTCCATTTTATTGCGAGTTAAATGATAGATCAGTTCAGTCAGTCAATGTAATCCGTGTTAGAGTGCACGATGGTGGTAGTTATATCTTTACCACCGTAGCAATCCAATAATAATAAATAAATGCAGGTATTTGTTTCTTTTATAATTTTTTGTTGAATTACTTTTTTCAACAGCCGGACGAGAATGGAGTTCCAAACTAAAATCCAAACAAATAGAACCCGGGTGTTTGGTTGATACTAGTCGTAAACATCAGGGCGTTAGTGCAAGGGTTAGTGCAAGGTTTAGGGTTAGTGATATGGAGTTTACCATATGTTTTAGAATAGTCTCTAATTGTTTGTTCTTTGCTCAGCAGAAGATGTAAACAGTTTATTGTAGATGGAAGACCGAGCCAGTAGTTAGCATGTCGTACTACCAGGCCGCCCTCAAGACGTGGGGCAAGACTGTTAGTGTTTTCATTTGGGGGCCAAAGTCAAAGGTTTGTCTGTGCCTTCTTACAAACTTACAAAGGCAGGCCGACAACCTTCACCAACCCCCAAGGTTGCACCGTACGTCAAAACATTTCTACAAAACGGACAGAGCCTACTATTTTGAAGGTGTGCTTGCTGGGCAAGACCCAGAAAGCTAATGAAAGCCTTCATAGTATGATCTGGGGTAGCTGCCCCAAGCGTATTTTCTAGCCACAACTTTGGCCGTTGGAGGAGTTCAATCAGGTCTCTGCTACAACCCAGATATTTATATCAGCAGTGGGTTGCAGCTTGTCTAAGAAAAACGCTAAATTAGGCCTGTTTCGCTACAAAAACAGGGTCAGGAAAGCATATTTAGCTATTGAGGATGCCAACAAAAGTACCAACAACTGGCACAAATAAAAGAAAACGAGTCCAAACAGGTAAAAAGGGTGGGCCTTCCTGTATTACAGGAGGGCTAAGATTATTTTGATTTTTTTAAATGCATCAATATTTTCTGCATGTGTTGATTTTTAAATGCCTGTTCTTGCTTATAAAACACTTTTTTGTATGTTCCCTTTTGACGTAATGTGTTAAAACAATGATAGTGCATTTTTCGCTCAAGATATTTTTTGTTCCTAAAAAGCAAAATTTTACTTGGATTTCTTTGTTTTAAGCAAACGGATCAAAATATAGACACATTAAGTCTGTAATTGGAAGATTTAATAAAGTTATAATTTTGAAAACCTCAAGGGAAAAACCTAATCTCCATTCCCCGACCAAAGCAATTTAAATGCGTGACATTTAGTCTGTTTAAACGAGGTATTGATCAGCAGACGACAGATGCAGACAACAGCTTACCAGACGCGGCTTTTTATGCGTTTTTTTTTTTAAACTTGTAAACTCTAGGGAGGGAATAGCTCACCATTTGAAATGGTAATTAATGCCATAATTAAAACCCACTTTCTAACCGAACAATTGAAAGGTTTAACTTGACTTTTTTATCGGGGAGATTAATGTCCATTCAGCGACTTGAAGTGGTCATAACGAACTTTTTAAAAAGTTTACCGTGAAATAAATACGTGTTTTACGTCCGCTATGGCAAAGATATCAATACGCGTGTGGTCAGTTGTGGTAATATGAGCCGTTCTGTTTGTCAAGCGGGGTGTTGATCCTATTAGATGGGAATAGTACGTATGCCAGACCAAGTAGAGTTTCTCTGTTTCTTAAGCCTAGGTAGTGATCAGAGTTTATTCCAGGCATCTCTTCGGGGGGGGGGGGGGGGGGTCTACCGCCCCAACCCTGAACGAGATGGAATTTATATAGTAAACATATATTTCTACTAGTGTCCTCCCCCCTTCCCCCCGGTAAATGTAGACCGCCCCCCCCCCCAAAAAAAAATCAAGTGCCCCCCCCCCCGAGAAACACTGGCAGTGATTGCAAGGGACATAATTAGAGGGACAGGGGTAGGCAGCTACGACCAATCAAGTTTTCTATAGTTTCTTTCAGATGGGGGGGGGGGCTGATTTCTCCCGAAATAATATGGGAGGGGTGGGGGGGGGGGCGACAACAGTTAAAGCATATATTTCTTAAGGTTTATATTTTGAAATCTCTACAGGTGGGGTGGAGGGGGGAGGGGTAGTGCTCCCCGAAGAGATGCCGGAAAGAAACTCTGAGACTAATTGCCGTAAACAATTGTGACAAGTGACAGTGTTAACAGTAGACAAACCTACCATGATTTTTTTATAGTGTTAAACAAACGTAGAGCAACATTTCACTATTATCCACTTTTATAATACTGCCTACATAAAAGACACGATGCAATTATGTATTCATATAATACCGCCTAAATAAAAGACATGATGTAATTATGTATTCATATAATACCGCCTTAACAAAAGACACGATGTAGGCCTAATTATGTATTCATATAATACCGCCTAAATAAAAGACACAACGCAAATATGTATTTGTATAATACAGCCTATATAAAAGACACGATTTTATTATGTATTTATATTGTACAGCCAATATAAAAGAAACGGTGTAATTATGTAGTTACATAGTACAGCCAATATAAAAGAAACGATGTAATTATGTATGTGGGTGTTTGTGCATGATTGGAAAACTCGAGCAGTGTTGGCTTATCCATCTTTACAGAACGCTAAACCTAAGCCCAAGCAGGATAAATATTTACTTGTTACAGCGTATTTGCCGACAGATGTCGCCTGTCACACCGATGTACGCGGTAATTGGATGCACCATGATACACGCACGGTCACGTGGTTACAGAAAGTAACATACGGATGGACGTTTCAGGTTGGGGTGAGGGTGGGGGGAAGTGGGGGTCGGGGGCTTAAACTATGTGTCTAAATGTTATTATACTTATTATACTACAGGGATGCCTGCATAGTTGAAAGAACATTTACTTTAGTTTAGCACATAGGCCTATTCTTTGTAATCGGTGTCTCCAGATTTATTTCTTCTCCGGTGGGGGGGGGGGGGGGGGGGGGGAGACAACATTTCCGGGAGGGGGGGGGGGCGGACACTGGTAAAAGTTTGTTTTCTATATAAATTCGATTTAGTTAGGGGGGGGGGGTGGGCGGTAGACTTTCTTCGGGGGGGGGGGGCGAAAGAGATGCTTGGAACTCTGTAATACAACCTTCTTCAATCACACCTACATACCTACATATCTAAATTTGTCCTACCATCGCTCTTTAAACCGTGCATCACACAAAACACACACATACACCCACCCACCCACACACACACACACACAAAACATCATACAAGTGCAAAACAAATCATCATACCATCACTCACCCAGCAATCCTACCATCACTCACCAAAGCATTCTTCAATGTATTACCCCGCTTCCAATGAATTTGTACACACACTTATCCTTAACTTTTAGCACACATTTTGAAACATTCACGTTGCTATCTTATGCTAGCCGTCAAGAATCTTAAAAAAAAAAAAAAACTAGACCAAGTTTGGAAACCACTTTTTAAGACAAACTTTTGAAACCACGTTTGCTTAGCCAGGGCAGCGAAAGCCAGGAATGCTAAAATAAATATTGAAATAGGTTGAGTTTTTTATATGACTGTCTACACTGTGTCGTAATTAAAATCACATTAATTGTATAAATTGTATGGACACCCGTTGAACCCCGAGGCTGACACACGTTGACCTTGTAAATTGACACACCTTGACACTGTAGATTTTTATGGACACACGTTGACCCTGTAGATTTTATGGACACACGTTGACCCTGTAGATTGTATGGACACACGTGGACCCTGTAGATTGTATGGACACACGTTGACCCTGTAAGTAGTATATTAGGTCCCTTTTGGGTATCATTTTTGGCGGAGGTGGGGAGGGTGAGGAACAATGACATATAGTAAAATACTCGGGAGCAGGATGCGCGGGATGCGCAATGACATATAGCAAAATACTCCCAGCCTGGCGCATCGGGAGGGTAAGGGTGGGTGAGCAGGATGCGCAGGATGCGCAAAGACATATAGTAAAATACTACGCCAACTGGGGTTGGCGGAGGTGGTGGGGAAGTAGGTCACCTTTTGGTGACCTTGTGACGTAATCATTGACCTTGTGACGTCATCATTGACCTTGTGACGTAATCACCGCAGGTGACCTAGTTACGTAATTTTAATGAGATTTTTAATGAGTTTGAATTTAATTTTTAAATTTTAATTTATTTTTGACCTAGTTACGTAATTTTAATGCGTTTTTAATGAGTTTTAATGAGTTTTTAAAATTTTAATTAATTTTTATTAACGAGTTACGTAATTTAATTACTTTGATTGTATTTTTATTTTGTTTAATTTGTTTGTTTACTTGTTGTT